GACTCATAGCGACCCCTCCTTGGGTTTCCGAGGCAGTATCACTACGGAAGTAGGATTGCCCAACCTTCCTTCCGAAGAGTGGCACATGACAAGCCATTAATTCAAGTTCATTGTAAGTCCCCAGGTTGGCAGAGCATGGCAGGCTGCTGAATAACGACACAGCTACATGCAGGGTCCAAGCGTGCCATATGCTTGAGACCAGTCCCAAAGTTGCTTCGTATGTATGGGAAGCAGACCACATCCCAAAGGCAGCTACTCAGCTGCTTGTGGTAGATCCCACCATGGAGTTGACTGCCAGTCTCCTCATGGGGAATAACTACCACCAGCTGCCCAGCCACTCAACCAGGCCCAATCAAGTTGACACACTAACATAACCACCACAAAAGTATTTCCAAGGAATAAATTACTGGTCTTGCAAAATTCTATGATGGTGATCTCTGGGGCATTTCCATCACCAATGTCACATTTTCCAACTACAGATCCTTCTTCTTTGTTTACAACTTTTCCATTCCTATTACCAGCATATTCTAGGGGAGAGGTAAAGCTCCAGGTGTGAATTTGAGAATGGTCTTCATATAAATGATATTTAAGGCTATGGGCTGGTGGACATTACCTAGAGTGTATTTTAAAAAGTGAAGGAGGACACTGTAAGAAATGGTAGGATAGAAGGCAAAACAGAAGAGTATGTTGTCAAAGAAGCAATTCAATAAGAGGAGATATGGTCACCCATATTTATGGGACATACAATAAAATAAAAAATGAGAATGATGATTAAATTTGACAAGACTACTACAATTGTAATTATAATGATTGTGACAAGTGCTTGATTGGAATGGGATAGAAAAAAAAATTGGAAATGAAGTACTTTACATCATTCTTTGATGAGACATGATTATAAAGGAAATCAGTGAGGGATAGCTAGCAATTTAAAATTATTTTAAAACTAATTTATAAGCTAACATGAATAACACCACATAGAGAAAGGGAGAAATGTGTTGCAGAGAGAAAGGGAATAATTGGAGGAAGAAAATTAATTTACGGATGAGGATAGGATTTAGAGCAATTTGTTTAGTTTACCTTAGATAGTTGTCTGACACTACTTCCATTATAACATTAGCTGAATCAGTGTGTATATGCAGGTGCACATTTTAGATCTGTTGATGGAAAAATAAGGTAGGTGTCATCTGATAATTTCTATTTTTTCAATGACATATGAGCAAGATTGAATGTTTGGAGTAAAGCAGAGGATGTAAAAGGCAAGAAGAGAAGCTATGAAATAGTCATTGAGGAGCAGGCCTCTGCAATGGTCATTCCTGATTTTGCCATGGTCAATGAAGAGAAACAGGGATGGACCAGAATTTGTAAGATATGGGTGCCTGGACCAATAACTGGGATAAGGAAAATTATAGAAACTTTCAAGAAATTTTATCTCACTCTTAGAAAACAAAGGCAGTGTGTGTATTTCATAGCAATCAAATGTCTTACCTTGCAGAGCTGGAAACAACAATGACCTGCTCAAGAATGACAGCCAACTACATTGTTTTGAATGTGTGTCAATCTCTGCAGTCCTGGCAGTAATTCAATTTCCCACATCAGACTCCTGAAAAGGCTTACCATGCCAAAGTCTCCCATTCCAGAGCTTCAACTCATTTTCACTCCAGGCACCCACATTTTGCAAATTCCAGTCCTTCCTGGTTTTGCTTTGTCAAACGTGACTGAACTAAAAAACTGATTTGAAGCCTTGTTTAGGAGAGTGGAGGCTAGAATTTGTGACAAATACCTGGTTTCAACAATGGACCATCAGGAGGAAATGTGCAAGCCAGTTTTAAGTACACTTCACACAGGAAATCCATTTCTGATTACTTACTCTAGCACTGATCTTCAACTACAGAAAATATTGTTTCATGGTCACTCACTGTGATGTCTTTGCACTGACTCAGACTCCTAGAAATTTTCCTTACTTTGGTCTTCAGTGCATTTGTGCATGTAAAACATTTTCTAATTATGTTTTGGAAATTATATTCAATTTTGCATTTCCATGTATAGAAAAGATTTCCAAATGTTTTTAAGTGGAAATAGAAGAACTTCCACTTCTGATGGGTAGGTTCAAACTGCTGAACTTTTGGTCAGCAACTGAATGCTTTAACCACTGTACCACCAGAACTCCTACTAGACCATAATAGGCAACCAATAAATGAGTTATTTTTAATATTATTTCTTAATAATATCTTTTTGTCTATAGAATACAAAAACCTTGCTTTCACTCTACCTTTTTTCCCTAGGTAAGATTAGCTTCTGAAACTGTAGTTTTTAAAAAATACTTTTTGTTTTTTTAATATAATGTGTTTTGTATACACACTGATTCAACTAGTGTTATAATGGAAGTAGTAGTACCTTGTGTTTCTAAGTTTCTCTTACTGAATGATAACATTTTTGTAATTTTGGCTTTATGATATATTTAGGAAATTGATTATGTAATATTTGAGAAATGATAGACTTCAAATAGGAAATTTATTTTCACATGAGACTTTATTCATAATACACAAGCAAAATTATAATTAATAGTATAATTCAAAAAGCCCACATAATAACACTGAAATAAAATCAAGATGTAAAAAAGCCAACACTACTTATATAATATGAAAGAAGTTTTTGAAAAATGACACAATATTATCCATATCTACTTTGTCTGCTAACAATACTGCTAAAGACTACAATGTTTCTGTAGTAAAATATTTTTTCAATTAAACGTAAGGAAGAATGCTAACAATATAATTTTTGTGTCAATTTTTTTTCCAAATTATAATAGCCATGGCTACTTGATCTTCCCTAAAGGAATATGGATACTACCAAAATCAACATTCAATGCGCAGAAGAGAAGTATGAGATATTGACGTAGTAAATCTCTATTCAATATCTTCATCTTCCATGTTGGCCTGCTCTAGGTCATGTATCTCTCTTTCAGGTAGTAAACCATATTCATTCAGGAAAGACTCCACATCTCCAGCAAAAAATTCCTCAGCAAACTGTTCAGCAACACTAATGAAATTGCTTATGAGTTCCCCACCTTTGTAGACCAGCAGTGTGGGGAGTACATCTGAGGAAAAGCGGTCACCAGCACCTGTATTAGAGGCTTTTATTTTACAAAACTTGACCATAGGGTATTCGACTGCAAGGCATGTTAAACTACTGTTGAGAGCATCGCAGCCTTTGATGCCATCTTCATAAATGTGAACAACAATTGTGGTGGTCTTTTGCTCTTTTTCAATGGTTTTCAGGAATTGCTCCCCAGTGTTCAGCTCATATACAAAGCCATATCTAGGCCCAAAACTCAGCTTCTGGTGCATATCCTGCATGCACTGTCTACGGTATTTACGAAGGCAATTTTCATCCTCTTTGTCTTGATGGATTAGTTCATATTCTTGAATGCTCATCTGAAAGTAGGTGAAAGAAATAGATAGGGATCATTCAATCAGAAGTTTATATTCCTTAGACAACACAAATCCATTCTTACCTCTATGAGTTTTGTTTGTTGTTTTCTGATAAGACCATCTCCTTGCCCACTATTGACATGGCCTGCCCTTCACCTCATTTAAACCTATGTCTAAATGTCGTCTTCCTTGGCTACCCTACCTAGAAGAACCCCACACTTTCTATTCTTTATACTGGTTGATTTTTCTTCATAGCAATAAACACTACTTGACATTGTGTTATATATTTATTGTTTAATTATTAACATCAGTTTTTCCAACTGATAAATTCTGTGGGGACAGGTGTTTTGTGTGTCTCATTCATCACTGTATTTCTAACATCTGCTATAGTATCTGGCACATAAAAGGAGTTCATTAATTATATCATGATTAAATGCATGTATAAACGTTGTTGAATATATTTGAGCCACATGATGCTCACAGTCTCAGTCAGATCTCAGACATTAAACTATTTACCATTCTGGGGAAAGTTTTACAAAAATAGAAGAAGTGAAAAACAAAACAAAATAATAATTCTGTTCTCTTTCTGTAAAACATTCTGCAAAGTAGCAGGGAGTTGTCAGTTGCCTTTGAGTGAATTCTGACTCCAAAGGGTAGAACAGCTCCCTAGGACTTTCAAGGCTGTGACCTGTTAGAAGCACATCATCAGGCTTTCTTCCATGGTGCAACTGAGTGTGTTCAAACTGCCAACCTTTCAGTTCATAAATAAGCACAAACTGTTTATGCTACCCAGGGATCTTAGAATTAGATATGCTGCTGTTGTGTGCTGTGGAGATATTTCTGACTCACAGTGACCCTACGAGACAGATTAGAACTGCCCCCATAGAGTTTCCAAGCTATAAACATTACAGATACAGATCACCAGGTCTTTTCTTCCAGGATGGTGGGTTTGAACTGCCTACCTTTAGTGTAAATTTAAGAGTCCCTGGATAACACACATGGTTAAATACTCAATTACTACTATTAACCAAAAGTTTGGCAGTTCAAACCCCCTTAAAGGAATCTTGGTAGACATGCTTCTGAAAGACCATAGACCTGAAAATGCTATGGCACAGTTCTACTCTTCACACACGGGGTTACCATGTGTCAGAATTGACTCAACAGCAACTAAACACATTCTTAATTCCAAATTTTTAATGATTAAAAATGTCTTACATTTTTCTATTATTTTACAAAACACTTTCACATTTACCTTCTCTCACATCCCTTTAGAATGTGTGGAGGAAATGCTATTACAATTTCCTGGGTGGGAAAATGTAATTATCTTATCTATATCATACAGTGAACCAGTAAAGGAACCAGAACTCAAAAACAAGATCTTAGACTTGAAAATCAGAAGCCTGAACCAAAGCGTAAGTCTATCTGCCCAGAATCAGTGTACAGAACTCACATACAGTATTTGGAGATAAACATTATGCTAAAGTGATTTTTCCCATAATCAAAAACACTTTATGGTTTATATTATTATTATTATTATTATTCTATAAATTATACAAGCTTATGTATCCACAAAAAATTACCTAGAAGATGAAGTAAGTAATAAATACTGAAATTTTACCATTTTAGTTGAGCTGCTAATCTAAAGGTTGATGATTCAAACCCAACCAATGGAGAGTTCTGGAAGATGGCATCGCATGTCTAACCCACACATTTGTTCCCTCAAGCAACATAATTCCTGAATAACTATGTAAAACAGATAGAAATAATGATAGTGGAGTTATGAGCAACTAAGCAGAAGCTAAAGTATCAGATTTAGTGAAGGCAGAGAAAAAGAGCAGATTAAACAATTGGGGAAAATAAAATAACCTGTCTAACTGGTGGAAACAGAGAGATGGAGAAGGAGAGGACTCATTAGAAATACAAAAGAGGTCAGCAGAGGGAAGTAGACAAAAAAAATCGCAGAACCCACAGAGGCATTGGGGACTCAGAATACCCACAATGGGAGTTTTTGGTGGTGTCCTTGGGGCTGAGTGAGTAGATGATCTTACTGGGAAACAGATCAAGACCCCCCTTGGCTTGTGCTGCCATTGAGTCCAGAAAGGAGTAGGGGAAAGGAGAAATTCCCTCTGAGTAGGGGGAGCCCTGGAGCAAGTTCACAGCAGTGGGCTGGGGTTCAACACTTCCACGACCCCCTTTTAGCAAAGAGTGGACTAGGGTATTGGGTTTTTGTGGCTTCTCAAAGTGAAAAGTAGTGGCCCTCTATCCATTAGGCCCTCTGTAAATTTTGAACTGTGGGTCTTTGATTGACAGTAGGATGTCATCAATAGTAGATGGCTCAGGAAGACACAAACTACACTGATTGTCCCAGCGGAGCTGTCTGAACTATCTCACCCAAATGCAGAAAATGGGAACTTGCAACGGGGGCCTTTTTTTTTTTTTTTCCTTCTCTTTTTTCTTATTTTTTTTTTTTCCTCTTCTCCCCAGCCTCATCCAATAGAAGGAACACATTAAACAGACACCAGGCAACAGGGGTTATTACACCAAACACCTCATCCAATAGTAACACCAATAACTCCTATGCCACAGAAACAATGACAGATGGTGGACAACATCTGCTCATCCCAACTCCAAATCCCTTTCATGATGAACAGAGACCTGCACCCACATTCCCATCAGTGATTCCCCAACATAGAGAGCTAGAGATCAAACCAGTAAACTGAGTTAATAGCCAAAAAAGTACATCTGCTCCAGACTTTCAGATATGTTGTTGTTGTTATGTGCTGTCTAGTCAGATCTGACTCAACAGTGACCCCTCCTTGGGTTTCTGAGGCAGTATCACTACAGCAGTAGATTGCCCAACCTTCCTTCCAAGGAGTTGCTGGTGGGTTTGAACTGCCAGCTTTCTGGTTAGCAGTTAAGTGCCTTAGGTGCTATGCTACCAAAGTTCCCCACTTTCAGATGTAGTAAAAAATAATATAAGGGTGAAAGAAATCAATACACAACCAGCAATTAAAGACAACAACTTCAAAATGTCTAGGAAACAAGAGACAACCTCAAATCAAACAAAAAACAGGACAAGACAATAGAAATAAAAGCCCAGGCTAAAAAACGATCTATCATGGAAGAAGAACAAGCAATAAAACTATCTGAGAAGGAATTAAAGAGATAGATGCATAAGACTCTCCAAGAGCTCAAATAAACCACAAACAGAATCAATGAGAAGACAAATAGTACCCTGGAAGAATTCAGGAAAATCATTCAAGAACAAAATAAAAAAACAAATACACAATTAGAATTCATACAAAAAGAGCAATTAGAAATCCAGAAGACAAACTTTAAAATTACAGAGTTAGACAATACAGTGAAGGACAAAAGAGTAGACTAGAGCTGGCTGAAGAATGCATTTTCCAACTAGAAGACAAATCCCTTGACGCCAGCCTGTATGGAGAAAAATCAGAACAAAGATTTAAGAGAGTGAAGAGAACCTAAGAATTATATGAGATGACATGAAAAGAAACAACATACATCTGATTGGAATACCAGAACAAGAGGAGTCAAAAAAGGAAAAGAAAAGAAAACAAAACAAAACAAAAAAAAAAACACTGAGAAAATTGTGGAAGACTCACTAACAGAAAAAATCCCCCATATCATGAAAGAAGAAAAGATATCTGTCTAAGAAGCTCAATGAACCCTATACGGGATAGATCCCAAAAGAAAGTCACCAAGACATATCATAATCAAATTCTCCAAAACCAAAGACAAAGAAAGAATCTTGGGAGCAGCTTGGAAAAAATGAAATGCCACCTACAATGGACAACCAATAAGACTAAGTTCTGATTTCTCAGTAGAAACCATACAGGCAAGAAGGCAATTAGAAAATGAAATAAACAAACAAAAAACCCTCACTGCTGTTGAGTCAGATGCGACTCATAGCGACCCCTCCTTGGGTTTCTGAGGAAGTGTCACTACAGAAGTAGATTGCCCAATCTTCCTTCCAAAGAGTGGCTGGTGGGTTTGAACTACCAGCCTTCTGGTTGGCAGTCAAATGCCTTAGGCACTACACCACCAGAGCTCACAAAAAGGCAATGGGATGGCATACATAAAACATTGAAGGAAAAGAATGTCCAGTCAAGAATTATATATCCAGCCAAATTTTCCCTCAAATATAAGGATGAAATCAAGACATTCTCTGAGAATGTCTTGAAGAGATATTAAGTCTCATAAATTTCATAATTTGAAATTTATTCAAAATTTATTTATTCAATAAATGTATTCAATAAATTTATTCTTATAAGGTTGGTCTGAAAACCAGACCAACCCCACAAGAAATGCTAAAGAGAGCCCTTCTAATAGCGAACACACAGCAAAAAACAATAAATTAAAATCAGGACACTTGACATCACCACTTAGAAACCAAACCAGAAACAGATGCTCAAAATAAGCTCATAAAATAATGTACATAGTGAAAAAGGGAGTCAGTCTGCAGATGATACCAGTAACAAAGCAAATAGAGGGAATAAAAGTTTTAATTACAAAACTTCCAAATAGAAAGATAGGATAATGTCTTTATAGAACTGACTGTTCCAAACTTATGGAGATAAGAATTTACTTCAGGGTAACCACAAAGAAAAGAAACAGTCCCCCTAAGCAAACTCAGAAAGAAGAAAAACACATGGGCTTAGTAAGCACAAAACCAATAATAATGAAGAAAAGAGAAGAAACACCTGATAACAAAATAAGCTCAGCACAGAAAAATATTTGGAAGAAGGAAATCACCAACACAACAAAAAACACAATAGAATGACAGAAATAAATTCTTACCTATCACTAATTACACTCAGTATTAATGGACTAAATGCATCAGTCAAGAGAAAGAGAGTGGCAGATCAGATAAGAAAAGAAGACCTATCAATATGCTGCCTACAAGAGACCCACCTTAGACACAAAGATAAAAATAAATTAAAAGTTAAGGGGTGGGGGAAAAAAAAAAAAAAAACAACCAA